AGAAGGCAAAGTTTACTGACAACATTGTCTGGTTTACTGATCGACTTAAAAGGCAAAGTGCCTGGCTAACAGTTCTACTCAGATGGAAATTGCATGGCTAACTGTGTGATTTTGTTGTCTGGCAGACTGACATGCAATTTTGACGGCAAAATGACTGATTGACTGATTTACCTTCATGACAATTATGTATGAATTATTGAGGTCAGCCCTGCTTGGCTTATGATAAAKGTTTGATCATATTTTTAGGCTGTGATAGATATTGTTCGCCAAGCTTCCAAGGTAAGGTCAAATGATAATGTTTTTAGTATTTGCAAAAGTTACAGTTCTCTGTCAAAATCGTTGTATTGGCAAATATTAACAATTTGAAAATTTACCTTTTTTTAGGCTTGTGTTGTGAAGAGAAAATTTAAAAAAGCAGAAAGTCTAATAAAACAGGCTATGGAATTAGCAAGGTATTAATAATGTAGTTATTAATGTTATCAGTATTTATTTATCTATCATTGCGGTTACCCCCTTAAAGTGTTGGAAGAAATCATTTCCAAAGTCCGAAATTTAAATGTAATCTTACCATAAAGGTACATACACTAATGGTTTTTGGTGTCAAATATTCCATCCTCTGATATTCATATTTAGAGTACAATTTTTTTATTATGTATATATTTRACTAATTTGTGTCCAATATGTTCTTTTATCAGGTATCACTATGGTGAGGAGCATCCCAAGTTTGCCGATACGTTAGTGGACTATGGTTTTTACTTATTAAATGTGGACTCCATACAACTGTCTGTTGATGTTTATACTGTAAGTACATATAATATGATAATGGCTAACGACATCACATGGTGCATCATATTATTGATGAAAGTATCAAAATGGTGGATGTGTTATGGAAACAAAGGTGGATTAAGTTTCTTTTGCGAAATCAGTTACGCTATCGCAAGTTGAGAATCAATTGCATTTTGAAGATCAKTAAATTAGATGCCTGCACACTTAGATGATGTTCAAAAACATGTGTGGGAAATAAGTAATGCTTGTTTTGGAAAAAAATCAGACAGGCCTTCCTGAACATGATCTGAAAATAATCGMATATGCATGTTGGTACTT